ATATATATATATATATATATATATATATAAATATTTCCGTTTGGAGAAGAGAGACAGAGAGTTGCAGAGAATACTGATGACAGGAGCAAGCAAGAAGCCATGAACGAAGCTGAAGCTCTCAGAACTGAAACCAAAACGGATCCATCGAACAACCCTTTTATCTGCATCCTCTACCCCGCCATGAGGGACACTTTCTCTATCTAGATAGCACCTTTCTACCTTCTTCTCTTCTCTTTTCTTCCTCAATCCATTTATTAATTCACCAAATGGTACGAACACAACACACCCAACTCCTTCGTTAATTTCTTCTCACCTATATTCATGTGATTCCTCTCCCACGGGATCTGTTTCCATTTCTATAGTTGTATATCTTTTTTATTCATTTCATCATCACTTTTCACTTTCAATTGAAGGATACAACTTCCTTTTCATCTCCTCCATCACACGTATGTTAAATTGTTGTTTACTTGTCCAGATTGATTTGCGAAATTTAAGGTACTCAGTTACTAGGATTCACTAGCACAGCTTCCGAGGCTGTCTGTTTATCTTTTGTTTTTCAGGATCTGTAACAAACAAGCAAGAAGCTTAATTTAATTTAAATTAATTAAAGCCCCAACATTGGTGGAGGAAGCTTGTGTGTTAATCCAAAATAGCTTTGCAATATACATGCATAATGGGCTAATCAAGATCGAAGTGAAAAGAATATGTGTGTCTATATATAGAGATCCTGGAACAGGATATGATGAATTGAAATGAAAGGCTAATTATAGAAAGTTGTTGTTGTTGCTGTGTTCTGACAGTGTGACTGAGGGAGAGAGAAAGTAGAATACAAGAACGAAAAGCGTAACATGGCGACGTACTTTCATGGAAGCACTTCGGAGATTCAATCTTCTGCAGATGGCTTGCAAACGCTTTACCTTATGAACCCATCTTACGTACCTTATGCTGACGCGCCGCACCACCCGACACTTCTCGTCAATCCCAACGCTACCAACGCGCTCAACCTCGCGAGTCTCACCCACGCGCCGCCGGTGTCGCCTTCCCCCAACCAGCAGCAGCACGTGATTCACGGCATGGCAAACATCCTCGGATCCGGGAATTCCGATGAGCACGCTCACAGCCGACAGTCGTTGTTCGGGGAAAACATCGCCGCCTTCCACGGTTTCTCCGGCGGGGCATCCTCCGCCGCCCCTCGCGTTCACTATAACCTCTGGGGCTCGGGGGTTGATCAACCTGGAACGCCTTCTAGCAGCTCCGTCGGTGGCGGTTTCCGGCGGCCCAGTCAGCAGGGGTTGTCTCTCAGCCTTTCTTCACATCAAACAAATTTCAGGTCAGTTTCTGGGGAGCTTGATATTGCCGGACAGGGCCACGTCGCCGGAACTGGGAACTCGCCGACGTCGGCTGCGTCAACAGGAGTTTCGGGCCTGATTCTGGGGTCGAAGTATCTGAAGGCGGCGCAGGAGCTTCTGGATGAAGTTGTTAACGTAGGAAAAGGAATCTACAAAGAGGAAAAGTTCTCAGAGAAGGTGAAAGCGAATAGAGAATCTACTAATTCTGGTGCTGGTGGTGGCGATGGTTCGAGTGGTGGAGGAGAAAACAGTGCAGGAAAACAAGTGGTCGAACTCAGCACCGCTCAAAGGCAAGAACTTCAGATGAAGAAGTCCAAGCTTGTCAACATGCTCGACGAGGTAATAATTTGGTTACTATTAGGCATAGTGATTTTCTATTTTGTCATGCAATAGTGCGCCTATATATTTATATGTCTGTGCGGGTGTTTGATCTTGCGAAAGTACTATAATTAAGTAATCGGTAGAGTGGTGCGGTTTGGTTTGGTTTTGTCAGTTATTCGGTCTATGTTGGTGATTCAGTAATTGGAAAATTATGTCGTAGTACGATATTCAGCTTTTGGAGGAGGCAATAATCAAGAATGTGACACTGGCAGAGGGTCAGTGAAATTGACAGTAATGCTGTCTCTCGTTTTCAGTTCTTTCTCGTGTGCCCTGAAATTATGCGTAGAGAGGAAACTAAACTGGCAGGAAAAGTAATTTGGTCTGATGAGTACCGTCAGAGAATAATTTGAGTTCGGACCCAGTTGGGTCAGTTTCAGCATTTATCCATGACAATCCGCACCATGCCAGATCCCTTTATTCATTCAGATTGAGCAAGTCATAGAAACTTCAAAGTTACAAACTTTATAGTTTATAACTCATAAGGGTCCAATCATCCTACTACTCACCTTCTCCCGTTTCATGTTCCTCTAATTTTTTAATCAGACAAACTTTAATTACGTATATTGTCTGCATGATCACATATATGATTCTGACTAATTTTTTATTTACTTAAAAAACTGCAGGTGGAACAAAGGTACAGGCAATATCACCACCAAATGCAAATTGTGGTATCATCATTTGAGCAAGCTGCAGGTTATGGGGCTGCAAAATCATACACATCCCTTGCCCTAAAGACTATCTCAAAGCAATTCCGGTGCCTTAAAGATGCAATCTCTGCGCAAATCAAAGCCACGAGCAAGACATTGGGTGAAGATGATTGCTTGGGAGTGAAAGTAGAAGGGTCAAGGCTTAGGTATGTTGACCACCATCTCAGGCAACAAAGGGCACTGCAGCAGCTAGGAATGATTCAGCCCAATGCATGGAGGCCACAAAGAGGCTTGCCAGAACGAGCCGTTTCCATTCTTCGCGCTTGGCTTTTTGAGCATTTTCTTCACCCGTATGTTACATCTTTCTTCAACTATTTATTACCCTTTCCTTTTGTTTATATATGTACTTTGATTCTAGCTATTGCATACACTTCTCATCAACTTATCACTGCTTCTAATTTTGACCTGCAGCTATCCAAAGGACTCAGATAAAGTCATGCTTGCTAAACAAACTGGACTGGCTAGAAGCCAGGTATGTTTCATCAAAGATTATCAGACACCATCAACCGTTGAGTTTAAAAAACTGTTACTTTTTCTTCAAAGCTTTTGAGATAGCCCGTATTATTTTCTTGCCTTTTTTAAATAGTTGTTTTATATATACCATTTGCTTTATTAGAATTAATCCATTACTTTTTTTATTAAATAATAATATCTATTATATTTATATTGTTTTTGGAAACAATGCCCTTCCCATTATTCTTTCTCTTTCTAGGTGTCGGGTAACAATTAAGTGTTGGTGGATCATTTTGATCATAAATAATATCTAAACCAAGAATGCAATTTTACTGCCATTTGTAAGTCATGCCATACATGATGAAATTCTTGTTGGGAACTAAATGGTGGTCTTTTTGAATCAGTTCAAAGGTTAAAGAATAAATGGGGTGATTACAAACATAAATATGAACTAGGGAAATCATACCTTTACATCCCCC